ATTTACTCAAGACAATCGCCACGAATATAAAAGGTATAAAAAGCATACAAGAGACGAAGATAGTTGTGAACGATGAATTATTCATTTCAACGTCAACTGTGACTGCGATTTGAAACGTAAACCCGACAAGGAATTCCTGAATGCGTGATTCACCCCAACACAGGAAGTGCAAAGATTGAAGTTCACTTTGTTTTCTTCAATAGCATTCTCTAATAACATCCCTCGTCTAGTTTACAGTTTAGTTCAGGTGCTTGGTTCTTGTGGCTTCACTGGATCCGTTTTGGTGTCTTTGTTCGTTTCTTTGCTCGGTATTGACGTGATTGCTCTGAAAGGCTTCGAGCTTGCTGCAGTCATCCCAGCTGGCAAGTGCTGGAAGGTTTTTATGGGGGCAGCACGATGCGTTTCGCTTGTAATCAAAGGCTTTGTACTGGCGGTTTTCAGTTGGTGCCCTAATGAAGAACTGGCTGTTGTTGACTGAGGTGAATGAACTGAACTGGCAGAGGTTACTAATGGAGTTTGTTTTGCAATAGTGGGCCCAGTGGGTGAAGTACCTCGGGAGGTGCTTTTTGGGGGCTCATGAAGGACAGCTGGTGATGAACCCGGCGAGGTACCCTTTGAGACCACCTGTGAAGCCTTCTCAGAGGCCTCTGTTGGAGGGGGTTTTGTTAAAACTGGTGATGCGGATTTTGAGGAAGTGCTGGGTGTACAAGTGCCGTGTGAGGAGGCCGCCTGTGTGATGCCTTGTGTAACACTTTGGGATACAGGCAGTGAAGTAGACGCTGACACTTGGGTTGCATCCTCCTTGGGTTTAGAGACCACATTTGGTGTTGCCTTTAACTGATCGGGTTGTTTACCGGGAGACGCCGGCTTCTGAGATGAGACATTCGCGGTGTTATTGGTGTCAGTTGAGCATGTGTCTGTCGCCTTTGAATCAATGCTTACTTGCTTTTCATTCTCCTTCACGTCTGCTGAATTACCAACTGGTTTAACATCAGGCGCTTTCGGCTCCACATCAGCTTTGCTCCCCTCAGCAGGAGCACTGCTAACACTTCCCTCTTTATCACCGCTACTTGGCAATGACTTGGAGCCTGTCACGGATGACGGCTGGGCGCCACTAACACTTGCCAAAGGCGTGCCTTGTAACGGCACCTGTGGGCTGCTACAAACTGCTACAAGGCTTGCAGCTGCCAGCCCAGGGGAGATACTTTCCGTAGCAAGCTTAAGGCCAGGAGTGGGACCTGAAGCCCCGCTCGAGCTCACAGTTGTTTCTGCAGCAGAAGCAGAATCTGAAGGCAAGTTCTTGCCATCTACAACGGACTTCTCGTCGTTGTTGTCGATTTCCATTTTCTCTGGTGTTGTAGAGGGAGAGCTGCTGATCTGTGTGGTGGGAAGCGATGAAGTGGCAGCAGCCTGCTGAGGCTCAGCCGTGACGGGTCCTGAGTCAACTGACTGGCCAGAGATGTCTGGTGCTACCAGAGCACTGGACTTCTGTTGAAGGGCTTCTGAGACATCAGCTTCACTTTCCTTGTTGTCTAACGCTCTGACTTTCCTTAACCTGCAAAATAAACATAGATCACATTGCAACTTGCAGTTTGGAATCTAAGCACACTTAAATAAACTGAAAAAAGGTATTTTCGGAGCATAAAACTACGGTCATAAGTCAGTTCACCCCATGCCAGTTCGGACTGATAGCTCCGTGGTCAATGCATCAAAAAACGCACAAGAAATAGTCTTTTCGCTCGTTAAGTTTAAAGAAAGAACCTTCTCTGAACTTTCAGTTCGAGCGAAGGGATTTTGAGTCCGGGCGAACTGACGTCGAGTGATCTGGCAATCGGGCGAAACGACCGGTTACGGTGTTAAAACACTAGCTCCCTAAGTGCGCAAATCTGAGTTACAAAACGTATTAAGAAGTTCAATTCGTGTTCCTCAGTGCCATCCTACCACCATCCATGTACTTACTTTGCTCGTTCCTTAGCATCGTCGAGGTCTTTGCTTACATCAGGCCTTTTCATAGTTTTGGGAAGTTCCTCGTGCAGTCTGCAGGCTGAGTGGGTAAAGATCTTAGGGACATTCCTATCACATTGACTTTCACCTTTGGATGGGAATGTGCACTTCTGAAAGAGCAGTTGGTTTGGATCATGTGTGATGTCTATAGATGTGTCAAGGAATCATGGACTACGAGGTCAAAGTCTGCGCTAATCTAAGAAATGGAGGAGTTTGCAGGGGTTTTATTAACGTTTTCAGCAGTAGAGCCACTGGTTTTCACAGGCGGGCAAAACGTTTTTAAGTTAACTTCTTTTTAAAAAAACTTTCCCCTAGAGGGTGAAACCAGGTGGGCAAAATTGTCGTCACAGACAGTCGATTTGCCCAGTGTCTAAACCCTGAGTTAGATGGGTAATCAGTTCCAACTCTTGATTAAATTCTGTTTCTGTATGAAGTGACAAGAAATTTCTGTTCTCCCTCTCGATGGGATGATAGCCCAACACACGTTACTATAATAATTGTTTATTCTAACAGTTCATTTACTAAATCAGGGCAAGTACCTATAATCCTTTCCTTTGCATCTTCTTTTGTCAGACCCGATGTAATATGGCACCCACCCAAAGTATTAAATAGATCCACACTGCTTTGGCAAGACACCAACGGATACAGACTAGGTTTCTACATACTTACAGTAAATTATACTACTAATAAATTCTCTTTCATAAATTTTTAACCAAATTAAGTGTCAAAGTAGATTGCAATATAAAGGATACGTTTCATACAATGTTTGGTGAGTGGCAAGACCTTTTCTGTACATCTGTTTCCTTCAGGGGAGTATGTGCAGCGGAGGTTGGACACTCCCTGCTGTCGAGTGTTTGCACCCTGCTTCTTCTCCTTAGCCTGTCGGTGCAGCAGAGCTTCAATGCCTGGACACCCATGCTGAGGTTTGCGACCAAGTAGCTGTGTGGGTGTCAAATTGCACTCTCCTATGGCCATCAAACACGACACAGCTTATTAGTAAAATGTAATGATATTCTGTTTGGCATGACAATGGGACTACAAAAAACAATTCTCTGTTCTTGAGGGAAGTCCCAGTCCACCCGTGACCTTTTGCACACTGCCTAGTGTTCTTCATTTATAACCATTGATCTAGGTTGTCACGCAGTGCTTCTCCCCACTAATGGCTATTAAAACCTAAACCTCATTCTTTTTCTTTTGTTTGACTACAGCCACTTTGACACTTATCAGGAAAAAGTAGCACTTGCTGGATCATAGATCTCTACTAGACACTTGTGGTTCTGGGATCATCATAAGATGTGACTTTTGATTGGTGTGATACATGAATTTAAACACCAGTGACTAGCTCACAATTAACATTATGAGCAAAACCTTCTTTTTACTAACCAGGGGAAGGATGTGTGGGTTTCAGCAGCCGCTAGTGAGGAAAAGCATTGCATAACAAGAGTAAACAGGGCCAGGAAAACAAATAAAGTTTATGTTTGTTTACCTGTTTCCTCCACTTCCTCAGCTTGAATCGCCTGACAGTACTTCCTTCTTCTCTCTTTAAGCACATGCTGTAATCTCTTGAACTGCGTAATGTACAGTGATCGCAGCCTGATCATCTTATCACGACACATCCTGGTAGCTTCCTCCACTGTCCACACACCAGCATGCCTTGACAAGAACAGTGTTCCAAGCAGTTAATGCAAACTGCTTAGTGCACATTGTAGCAACACACATTAGGGCAATTTACTTGGAAGAAAAACAAATCTTTTTGGATTCCTCCAGCTGGCAGTTTAAACCAAACTGATTTGAATAGGTCTGAAATAATGTTTCATTAGGGGGACCCTGGACACATAGTAAAATGTCTCGTCTAAAGTTTATTTTCATTACCAGCAGAAGGGAATTTACCCCCAGTGGGGAGACTTCAACATAAAAAGGACAGGGATGCTGGTAGAACATTTTAGGGGTTAAAAAGTCTGTTTTGTTACCTCTTGGGGTGTTCAGCCTCAAAAGGTCCACAGCGAAAGCTTTTGCGGTACCTTTTGGGGTCTTGAGGCAAAAAAATATGGCAGGAGATAATGATTGTTTTAGAATTGATATATCTTAGGGGTAAAAAAAAAATTCAAGTCACACCCACAAAATTTCCAACAAGTGCCCTCTTCTCTTTATATGGGAGTTCTCCCTCAAGGAATTTAGATCAAGCTTTATATAATACAAGGAGCTGCCTCATTGAAATACATTGTTTTTGGACTGTTCTTCATGTACACCTGTTAAAAACGTTGAATTATATTTCAAGGTGAAGGGGTATACACTCACTTCAGGGGGTCCTCCTCTTCACTGTCAACAGAATCTGCATCACTGTCTATGTCCCCATGCCAGGCACTGTCCACCTTGAGGTAATCATCTCCACTACCACCACCACCATCCTCATCTAAACCAAATTGTTCGCAATAGGAATAATAAAGACTCAAACTAGAATGGTTGCAACACTCAACACAACGAATCAATGACGCTGAAAATTCTGTATTTGACAGAAGAACTCAGTCTTCAAAAGGTAAGGCCAAAGGCCAGTGTGTTTGGTTTATGATTTTGTCTGGCCAATGATGTAGTTGAGATCAAGCTTCTTATAGTGTTCTGCAGTCCTGCAGTCCTATTAATTCCTTTGATTAGTAATAGTGTTTGGCTACAAATTTTCCTTTGTTTTCTATCTCAGCTACCCTTGGTATAGCAAGGACAGTTTCCACGTTTTCCTAAGTCACCAATCGGGTAGCTGACCTGTGATCATTAACTAGCACGAGGAAACAAACCTGAATATTATTCACGCACAAGCTTTTTCCATCTTCCCATAATCAAATTAAGTCATATCCCTATCTTTGGACAACATTTTTTCAATTTAAGTTGTATCTTGGGGGATAGTAAAGCNATCACTGTCTTGTTGGTGATTTCTAGTACATTGCCCGCCTACTGGAGGACCAAAATAGAGTGAATATGATGTGGAAGTCCCCACAATACCCTAGTCATGCCCAGGGGGTGGGGTGGGGGGAGATCTGCGGGTTTCAAATGATTGGTGCATTACGGTGGGCCATTAAATTGCCATAAAAAACCTCCTTTGGTTTGTTATAATGGTTCAAATGTCATAAATATAAAAGTTGTCTTTAATTTCTAAAGCTGCTCTTTTCTTATTCATGAATTGCAGCATAACATTGCAAAAGAAGAAATATTATGATGCTATTTATTACAAAGATAAGGACAAGTAAACAAAAATTGACAACAATTTGTTTACTCTTCATGTTAAGTTCTAACCCTGGTTGTTTGAAGGCTAGATAATGCTATCCATAGGATAAATAGCTATCCAGTGGATAAGTGCGATTCACAAAACAAACCACCCTATCCACTGGATAGTGATTTATCCGGCGGATAGCGTCATCCACCTTTGGAACAACCCAGGCCTGGTGTAGTGTAGTGTTATTTCCTTACCTTTTTGCCCTGTCAGGCAACTTCTGCGCCGGGTTAGGACACCTCTTTCCATTCGATTTAGCTACAAAGTCACACGGTTTGAAAGGACTGGCTTTGTCCTCCAAGATATGCTTGTGGCAAAAGTCAAAGCCCTTCAATATTTCCAAGTTACAAACTCGCTGCGAGTAAGCGCATAATTTGCGCGGGCGAACATCTGATTCTGTTTTAGTCTTGGCCAAAGCACTTGAATCTTCGTTCTTTGTTTTATCCATAACTACAATAAATTCATCAAGAAATAGTTTCAGCTTAGCAGAGTTCCATGACTGAAAAGTGTTTTCTGGCTAGTCTCGAAGACCGAAAGACGAGCGAGTGATTTGTGCTTATAAAGTTAACAATTTCACCACTGTCGGTAGTATCCACTATTCCTAAACTGAGGAACTCTACATAGATTGAATTATTTTCTGTTTAAACGACTGATGTAAAGCAAAACGATACACAATCAAGCAAGTACAAAGCAACAACGACACGTTTCGTTTCGTTTCGTTTCAACATACCTTCCGCCATCTTGTTTTTCAGAATTCTACCGCAATGTATGCTGGGAAAGGGAAAGCATACTGTTTTCAGGGGGTACGGGTAGGGATGAAAAAAAAAAACGACAAAAAAAGCTCTGCTCCTAAGGGAAGACTGGGAACGTGTGAGCAAGAAATACCGAATACAAGTAGAGCGATAGGTGCGGCTGAAATCGCCAACAATTAACACCCTCTCTCTCTCTTTTCTCTTCGCAGGACTCCCCGCAGCACCCTACAAGCCTGTTGTTCATAGGTTTTCTTGTTCACCTCCCCTTAGTTCATTAATTGTTGAGGCTATAGTTTATCATTCATTGGAAAGG